CTGAATCAGTCCATTCTTAAAACAGATTTCTAAACCAAAAGCAAGGGCAAGAAAACATTCCTGTACTCAGTGATTCTCTGAACAGCAAAAGTCTTCAAACTGTAACCCAAATCTGTAAACTACTAACTTCAAAACCTTTTTTGTAAATTCTTTCAACAGTTAGGAGAAACCACCTTAAGGGAGCTTCTCCGAGTTTTGGCTTCGTTTTTTGCTGGTGTATTCTGACTTCAGAAGCCCAACAGCTTTTGGTAAGAAGTACTCCTAGTAGTCCCCTCCCCATCAATTCTTCAAAAAATGTCTAGGCTACACAAGCTGAAACAATGACCATCTATATCCCTGTATGTACATTCAACAAATGTTCATTTTGCAGAATGTGCTCTGCAATACATACACACACCTTTGATGTCTATTTGAAAACAAGCTGTACAACCATCTCTTCACCCCTAAACACAGCGTGCATCTTCTAGAACTTTCTCCCACATAACCACAGCACCTTTATCACATCCAAGAAATTTAAAGTTGTTCAACACCTGTCATTTAATCCATACAACATATTTAAATATCCAGCTGTGCCCAGAATGCCCCTTTAGTCCTTGTTGGGACTGGTCCCCTTCAATCCATGGTCCCTCTGCTTGTCTTTCCTGGCACTAGACCTTTAGAATCTGGACTAGCTGGACTTACGTCCATCTACCTCATTTCCTGTGTGATCAGATCTGGGGCAAGAACACCATAAACACTGTGCGTCCGGAGGCCCGTGTTCCGGTTCCTTTCACTGTAGCACTATGTTTGATCACTCGGTGATGGTCACTCATCAGACCTCTTTATTGTACAGCTACCTTTTCCTCTTTGTAACTGAAGACACCATCACCCTGTAAACCTTCCATTCCCACATCCCTGTGCTGTCCTGGAAGCCCATCAACCATGTCACCATAGAGTGACGTTCTTGAATTATTTCCTGTGGGGATGCAAAAATATCATTCTTCTATATTTATTAGCTTGTCATTCTTCTGTAAAGAAACCTTTCCCTTTCTAATTGACTCATAATGTATTCATGTAATTCTGTGGAATGTGCATGAATTCTTTGTTCCCTAAAGTACAGCTGATATACCAGGTAAATATTACTATTTAGAATTAATATTTTCTGTAGCCAGCAACAGCCAATTATTTTATATCAAAGCTAATTCAAATACATTAATCATTCTAATAATTACCATTCTCATGCCATCTATACTTTAACACAGTGGTTCTCAACCTTGGCTGCACATTAGAATCACCTGGGAATCTTTTTAAAATCCTGATTTCTGGGCCTCATCCTCCGGAAATTCTGTTTCTTTGTTATGGGGTGAGGCCACAACATTAGTAACAAAGAAACAGAATTTCCAGAAGAAGAGGCCCAGAAAGCAGGATTTTAAAAAGATTCCCAGGTGATTCTAATGTGCAGCCAAGGTTGAGAACCGCTGCTTTAACAGAAGTCATCATAATTACTTTTGATATTGAGTTTTACAATGTCCACCCAACAAAGGAGAAATGCCTATCTTTTTATTTACAGGCTTCCAAAGTCCATCATAATCACAGACACCACAGATGAAAGTACTTACATATAATCCTCTCCTTTAAGAAAAAGAAACTGCAGTAGGTCCTTAGTAAACATGTACACAAACACTTCCCAATCCTCAAATCCTCTTAAATGTATTCTTTTTAAATTCTTACTGCACGGGTGGAGGGGTGTTAAAGGGACACTGTAATACTGTCGACAACAAGTCCTGCTGTGCCTACCAGCATCGCCTGCATCCTGCCCCAAGCTGGCTTCTGCCAGCACGTTTGCGTTCACATTCCTGTCACAGTCCGGCCCCGGGAGCAGAGCACCATCCAGATCTGAAAGAGATGGAGAGTCATCTGTTATTACAGCCGCACCACAGCTGCCACCCAACACACTCCCTTCTGGAACTGTTTCTTGGGCACACAGAGGGCTATCTGCAAGTGCTGAACACCTGCTCAACACCGCAAGGCACGGAAGGGCGAGACATGATTTTCAACCACAAGAGTAAGTGCACACTCAGCAGCAAGCACAGTGTACTGGAGCATGGGCTGCCAGCCCGGGGGCACCGGTACTCCAGCTCCATTGGCTACTGGCTACACGAGCGCATGTCAGTTTCCTCACATGCATCTACTTGTATCAGATTTGACAGAGAAATTAGGTTAATGCAAACCAAGGGTTTAATTATGATGTCTGGCACCCAACAGAGGATGACTACTGCTGGTACTAAGTACTGGATGTATAAAACATCATATGGCTCAGAGCTGGGAAGGAAATATAAAGCTAAAATAAAAAGGAAGCTATCAGAGAAGAGGTCATTCCCAAGAGTTCATAGTGAACTGTGGAAAGGCTGTGATAGGCAGCATAAAAGGAAAAAGCACACTAACGTGTTAATCCCTTTAAATCTGTTCCATCCCTTCATTTCTGTTTCTTTGTTATGGGGTGGGGCCACAACATTAGTAACAAAGAAAGAGAATTTCGGAGGATGAGGCCCAGAAATCAGGATTTTAAAAAGATTCCCAGGTGATTCTAACGTGCAGCCAAGGTTGAGAACCACTGGTGTAGACAGTTCCCTGGCCACAGTGGACGGTGAGTGCCACGTGCCTCTTTGCTCCTGGTTTTGCTCCCACCACCACTCTCCCCACACACTGCCTGAGAGATCTTCCAAAAACATCAATCTTTAAGTTGCTCCTTTACTTATGATCGCCCATGGTTAACCACAGCTTTTACAATAATCTTCAAACTCCTTTGAGTCCAACGTAATGTTTCAGGTGCCTGCTTAGGAATCTAGACTCACCCACTGGCACCATCTACTCTCCCAGATGAATCACACATTTCTGAAGACAGTGTTAAAATGCCGCGTACTATGGACTGTCCCTCTTCTGCCTTCTATTCAAGACCCATCCTTGGTATCACCATTCTGTACTGCTCCGATTCTCAATACTAAAGGTTAAAAAGTTTATGGTGGGCAAATATAATCATACAATGAGACGCTACCCAGCAGTGGTTCTAGTGCAGCTATAAACCCCAAACCACCCACCAGATCTGGTACTTTCACACTACGAGGCCAGTAGGATAACACTTCCATCATGACCGAGAGAAGAATAGTTTAATTGATCCCAAGTAGACACAAATAGTCATGTAGGCTCCTGCAGGCTTCTGTAAAGAATTTGGCCTTTTTTTGCTAAGAGCAATAAAAGGGTTTTAAACAGGCTGTTAGTCTCATTTGTCTTAAACAAAAAAAAACACCAAAAAACTATTCCTGGTGTAGGAATGAATCAAAGGAGGGCAAGAGGAGATATAGGGAGACCAGTTAGGAAGCTATTTTAATACTACAAGTGAGAGCTGGTGGTGGCTTGTGACTTGGTTGAATGGCCATGGCAAATGGAGAAAAGTGGATGAATTTGAGAGTTTGTGGGGCAAAACTGACAGGGTTTGGTGACAGACTGGGTGCTGGGGTGGTGGTGAAGGTTTTCAGACTGTTCGCTAATGGCAGCTGAGAACTGAGGAAAAGAGCCCATTCCTGGAAGGGACAGGAAGGTGTAGGAAGTTCAATTGTGAACTTTACTGAGTGAAATGTACTTCAGAACAAGGCTGAATAATATGCTTGGGGTGGGACGGGGTGAAGAAAGGCAGCGCTAGGACTTCCTGGAGACCAGCTCTGCCACGGCCCCGCTGTGAAAACAGGCTACTTTGCTTCTGTGATTTGAGGACCGCGCCACAGTGCTCGTGCAGTCCCTCCCCCAGCAGCACTGCTAGCTGGGAACTTCCTAGAAATGGCATTTTCAGGCCCACCCACAGACCTACCAGAGACTCTGGAGGTGGGGCCCAGCAACCTGGAGTTAGTAAGCCCTCTAGGGGACTCTGATGCTCAGGGAAGACTTAGGGCTGTATTTTTTTCTTCCAGGTGGAGAAATTTAGTACCAAAAACTTTAGATTTGGTGCTTGAGCTGGGGACAAAAATGTTTGAGTCGTTAGAATACACATGGCAAATAAAGCCATGGGAGTAAACAGATGAGGCCTTGAGGAATCCTAGCATTTAATAATCTACCAAAGGGTATACAAAGATTGTTAGAAAAGTATTTCAAGAAGTAGTCCACGGTGACAGTGCTGTCAAGAATTCAAGATGAAGCCTGAAATATGGGTCACTTTCATTTCATCCAAGAATCCTGAGCACCAGTGGGTGGGTGGGTGGGTGGGGGCAAGCAGGAAGTAACAATGGCCTGTGTTAAGAATGGGAGATAGCCCTAACCGGTTTGGCTCAGTGGATAGAGCGTCGGCCTGTGGACTCAAAGGTCCCAGGTTCGATTCCGGTCAAGGGCATGTACCTTGGTTGCGGGCACATCCCCAGTAGGAGGTGTGCAGGAGGCAGCTGATCGATGTTTCTCTCTCATCGATGTTTCTAACTCTCTATCCCTCTCCCTTCCTCTCTGTAAAAAAAAAAAAATCAATAAAATATATTTAAAAAAAAAAAAGAATGGGAGATAATGAATTAGGAGATAATACAATTTGAGAAATTTGGCTGTAAAAGGGAAGAGTGCCGAATAGAGTAAGAGTTTTGTCATTTATAAGATGAAAGTAATAAACATATTTAAATGCTGAAAGGAAGAAGTCACTAAGAAGGGGAGAAGTTAAAGCTATTGAAGAAATACCACAAAAAGAAATGGTCAGGTTTGTAAGGTTCCCAGGGAGTCTGTTTGGGTAACAGGAGAGAGAGCAAGGAACATCTGTCCGGAGAGGAGTTTGAAGGCAGCACTCAGGACTTTTCTGTCCAGTAGATGGGAGGGTGATGCCAGAGTATGAAATAGGTGGGACATCAGGAGGATGACTGAGAAGTAAACAGACCACACTCCTTCACCTGGTCCTTCAGAGCAGAACACTATTTGGGTCTTATTTTCCCAACTAGAGGCCCGGTGCATGAAATTCGTGCATGGGGGGTATGTCCCTCAGCCCAGCCTGCACCCTCTCCAATCTGGGACCTCTCGAGGGATGTCTGACTGCCCGTTTAGGACATCCCTCTCACAATGCAGGACTGCTGTCTCCCAACCGCTTGCCTGCCAGCCTGATCGATGCCTAACTGCTCCCCTGCCAGCCTGGTCACCCCTAACTGCCCTCCCCTGCTGGCCCAGTCATCCCTAATTGCCCTCCCCAGCAGGCCTGATCGCCCCCAACTGCCCTCCCTTGCAGGCCTAGTCTCTCCCAACTGCCCTCTCCTGCTGGCCTGATCGCGCACAATTGCCCTCCCCTTCTGGCCATCTTGTGGCGATAATCTTGTGTCCACATGGGGGCGGCCATCTTGTGTGTTGGAGTGATGATCAATTTGCATATTACCTCTACTAGATGGGATATTTATCAAAATGCATAATAAAAAGCTTTTCAAGAAATGTTAAATGCTACTTAAATAATCTGCCCTTTGCAACATTACTAGTTTAGTTGTAATTAATGGTGTTTGAAGAATAATTTCTCAGTTTTCAGGTGTACAATTGCACTAAAACACGTCCATACACTGAAAAATAAGTGAAATTCAGTAGCTTTGTTTTCCTACGAAAAGTTAAATGTATTTTGAAATTCAAAAATAAAATGCAAATCACTATCCAAACAATGTTATTAAGTTTCTGTCTTTTAAAAACAGTAATTCGAAAGTGTAGCCTGTTGAGAGGGCATTTGTCAAATTCCCACAATGGTTTGTCAATATGGGGTATTTCTATTTATGTAACATTCTATAGTGATTTGTTGAAGGCTTTCCTCTGCTGGTTCTTAAAACAGACATCTCCCGTCGTCTACCCCATCTCGAAAGTATTAGAATTTAACTTGTAATCTTTAATCCTACATGGACACTAAGTACACAACAGCAATAATAGATGGCTAATGTAGTCGTCCTGTGTGCAATATTTCCCCTCCGCACAAAACCACACCCGTGCTAGACAGTAAATCTCTTTGGAGAGGTACCAGCTACTTGGTTCTTGGTATTAAAAACAAACCTCAACACAGGTGAGCTCTGCCAGGCTGACAACAGCTTTCCTAAGTAGCATGCTTAATGCATGAAGCAATACATCACATCACTCTGGACCTTACGTGACACCAGCCAAACTGCCTAGCAACTCATTTCTCATCAGTTTCGCTGATGTGAGTGGGAGAGAAGCCAGGTAACCAACTGTTCACTTGATATAGGGACGAATTTGCTTCGCTGGGAAGCAAAGGCAGTAAATCTTCCTCACCATCTTTTTCTCTAAAATTATAAGATTAAAAAGTAAACTCTTTAATATATTTGCTTTTCTAACATTCATGACTTTGCTATGGAAATATTTCACTTCATTTAAACTTAGCAAAAAGGGCTAAGATCTCTCTACAATTGTCAGACCTTTTAAAGAACTATTAAAACGTTAGTTTCACAAGATAACAGCTTTCTGAATGGTAGCAGGTATTATGTGTGCTGTGTAATATGATTCAAATCATCAGAGCTAAATGATAAGCCATGTATAATTTCTTCTATTTTTACAAATGTCTTTCTCCCATGAACAGGTAATAGCAGACCCCTCCCTCAAAGAAGACAAAGAACAGAGTTTATGCATCAAGCAGTAAGTCCTTTTGTATATGCTTTCTCACACAAACTTTCCATGTGTATGTCACAATAGTAAGAATGTTCGTATCCTCGTTGCATGAGGGAGCTAAGATTAAGCTAGACTCTAGCTCAGCCGTGGGCAAACTATGGCCTGCGGGCCGGATCCGGCCCGTTTGAAATGAATAAAACTATAAAAAAAAAAGACCGTACCCTTTTATGTAATGATGTTTACTTTGAATTTATATTAGTTCACACAAACACTCCATCCATGCTTTT